TAGGTCATCTAGCCAAACGAAGGGCAATTTAAACAAACTGACTATACATGTAACTAGCATAACCATTACATAAAATTGAAGGAATTAAAACATGTTCGTTTGCAGAGACAGTTTGCTTTGGAATAAATTAAGAACGTAAAGTGAAAAGTAAAGCAGTATCCTACCACATGTCTCAATATATATATTGAAAGATTGACAAAGATAAATGAATTTGTATTTTTTTTCTTTAAATTCAATTGAAGATGAAATTTATTTTCTGATGGAATGTCCAGCATTCAAACAACAACGACAAGTAATGTTAAATTCTGCTTTGAATATATTTAATAATTTCAAAAATCTAAATACAGAAAACAGATTTATTTGAGTTTTCTCTTGTGAAAATGACGAAATATGCAACAACTGTGGTTTTAACTGCTATAGTTAAATCCATATTATCATAAGCATATCAGTATTGTTTTTTTTTTACTTATGCCTATTTGTAATCATTATATGTAACATGCCCTTTATCGGCCGATAATTGGTTTAATACAGTATTCGTATCCGTACATGTAATCACCGAAACGTGGAAATTTTGGACTACATTTTCGAAACTTACCTGTTTAAAATGGTTTAAGATGGGAGAATGAAAAAATACAAGTCAATAATAAGATAGTCAAAATCAAGAGACAACCAAAGAATTCAACTGTATCAACCTTGGAAACGTGCATCGATCAACGTAACCCAGGTGGATTACTGTGGATTACCAAATAGCGGTAACTGCATATATATTATAGAAGGATCATAGTTCACATTCAAAAACGACAAATAATAAATAAAAAAAAACAATATGCCATTTAAGAATCTGAAAAAACTATGGGTAATTTCATTGGTCGTATCCCAAAATGAAAATAACGTCACGTCATTGGATTAATTTCAATTGTTTGGAGGGATTTTAGCCAATCATAACATTTAAGTGTACGCTTTTGAAAATATTACGAAAAATGCATTAGATTCTGAAACGGTGAAATTATAATTGATATATTGACACCAAGATTGAAGATATGAATATCTGTTTTCAATAATCGACGACATACTAATAGAATGTCCCCTTTGCGCGATCTTTAATTTGTTTATAGCACTATTGTTGTTACTATGTCAGCCATGGTTATCTAGCAAGAGTTGGAACTGGTTTGAGGAACATTCTATTAATTGATATATAATAGTAAAAATGAGTTTGTGTGATGTATTGTTATATATGAATACAATTAGGTGAATTTTCATCTCAAACTTTATATATATATAGTGCGGAGTTGCCACGATGTCACAAAAGAAAGTTCAAATCCCGCTGAGTGAAGAACAAAAATTTGCAAACACAAATTTACAGATCTAACATTGTTGGGCTAAATTTGAGACGAATAATATATATATTATGGTGTTAGCCCTGTATAACTACGGGTTATCCGATGGAGAATGTCTGTCTAAAATTGTCACATGTTTAGACGTATATATATATTATAACAAAAATAAAATTATAATTTGATATGACGGTATGGTAATTAATTTACATTATCATCCTTTACACGACGGACAAACCATCTGAAAGATATACTATCCTACTTGCCATTATACACCATGTACTGTGTTACAGCCCTAGATAAAGGCGACGACGAAAGGCATTACTCGACTAACGAAAGCTATATTTTTATAGTGGTCTAGGGCGCTGGACACAGTGCAGGCGGAGTAGCGACGATATCACAGAAGCAAGGGTTCAAATCCCGCTGAGGGAAGAACATTGTTTGGCTAAATTTGAGACGAATTATATATATATATATATGCATGGAACGCACTGGACGTCCCGTTAGTGTAACTCTTAGCGCTTTCGGTCAATCGTTCGGATTTTCCAACATTTTATTTAACAAAAATAACGACTGCTTGATTGCTTGATTGGTGTTTAACGCCACTTTCAGCAGTGTTGGCTACTTAGTGGCGGCCAATATTTATTAGTGTAGGAAGCCGAAGTGCCCGGAGAGAACCATCGACCTTCGGTAAAAAAAAACTGACGATCCTAGACAATTAAGATTGAAATCAAAGGCACCTGCCACCTGCGGGACATGAATTTACAATCTCAGTGTTGACAGGCTAGTGATACAGTAGTTGGAGTACTTAAACCATTTGGCAACCGAGACCCCAACAAAAATAATGGAATACAATACTAGGGGCGTGTTTTATTGGTCTCTTCTGCACATCTCCAGAATGTCTTCTGGTGAAGAGTCCAAAAAAATGAATCTGGACCTCTTCTGGAGATATTCTACGGAAGATCAATAAAACAAAAATTCAATTTGCCGTCGAATATAGCAGATTTTTTGTTATTTTGGATGACATATTAAATGAAATTTACGATGATTTTGTAGAAAATTAAGATACGTCCGGTAGACATGACTGTAAAAGTGTGCTCTGTTCGTGACATTTTTCTTTGTTCTTTCCTCTAACTCAATTTTGCTAGACAAATCAGGCGTAAACCCCCACTATTTGATTTTTAAGAATAATCTTAAACTGCACAAAAATTCGTCAATGTTTGTCTCGAATATGATCAAAAAGGACATCTTGTCTATCCATTTTTTTTAAAGTAACCAAACTGGATTATTTTTGTATAAAGCAAAGATATCGGAAAGTTCTCAAAATCATTTTTCTCTGGTGGTCCTTGAAGTGAAATCTTCTGGTCCTAACTATTATTTCTATTGCATAATTTCGATGGTCAAAACCTTCGGACCACCACTTTTCAAAAATTTTCATTGTATATGGATCGATATGCAAGTATACAATGTATACCAGACATTTCTCAGACTGTTTTTTCTTCTTTTTATTTTTAATAAATCCGTTGGTTCACCGTTGTGTACTGATTGATACTTCAGTCTGGGAGAACAAGATTTATTTCAGTACTAATAGTTGTAATTAGCTTTGAACAAACTTCCAGTAATTGCAAATACTCTTATTTCGGTGCTTTGTGTCTATTGGCTTAATGTAAGTTTTTTTTTCTGTGTGTCTCGTACCGATCCTTTGAGTTAATCTAATTGCAATTGATTTGTGCAGGTTGTTCTTATATTGTACTGTTACACCACTGTCCCAGCTTCAGGGAGGGTTGAGCGCTCACAAACATGTTATTATACTGTTACACCACTGTCCCAGGTTAGGGAGCTGGTTGGGCCGGATCCCGCTAACATGTTTAACCCCGCCACATTCTGTATGTATGTGCCTGTCCCAAGTCAGGAGCCTGTAATTCAGTGGTTGTCGTTTGTTGCTGTGTTACATATTTGTTTTTCTTTCATTTTTTTGTACATTAATTAGACCGTTAGTTTTCTCGTTTGAATTATTTTACATTAGTGATTCGGGGCCTTTTATAGCTGACTATGCGGTATGGTCTTTGCTTATTGTTGAAGGCCGTACGGTGACCTATAACTCTTAATTGCTGTGTCATTTGGTCTCTTGTGGAGGGTTGTCTTATTGGCAATCTTCGTTTTTATATCAACATTGCCATATTCTTTGTGTGACTGTCCCAAGACAGGAGCCTGTAGTTTAGTTGTTGTCGTTCAACTTGGTTCATGTCTCGACTCATATTTGATATTTTGTAAATTATTTTGTTATGTATAATTAGGCTGTTAGTTTTTTCATTTGAATTGTTTCTCACACTTTTCACGTCGGGCCTTTTGACAGTATCGGGTTTTGTCATTGTTGAAGGCCGTAATTACGGTTGCCTATAATTGCTTACATCCACTTCATATTTGAACTCCGGTGGATAGTTGCCTCATTAGCAATCATACATTTCTTCGTCTTTATTTATGCATATTTGTCACTAGGCGTTAAAAATTAGCAACAAACAATCAATCAATTTAAACTTGTGTTAAATAAGAAGAAACCCCATTTGATATTCATTCATTTACTAAGTTGGCCGGGTGGGGGGCAGGAGGATTTCATATATGAATATGGTTGGCTGGTAAGAGCTGATAAATAGGCATAATTAGCGACAGATTAAAAAAGTTAATAATGCCCTCTTCCCTTCCCCATTCTTCATCTATAAATGTAAACTGACCACCACGGAATAGCCCTACTTAATGTTGAAAGTAGCGTTAAACACCAATTAATCAAAATCCCTTCCCTAGAATATCAAATAGTCGTCCCTTAAGTGTTATTGTCCGTGTAGTTCTTATATTTATCCAGCTTATCGTGCTACAGGGATGTCCTACTAAGACTGTCATACCATAAAAACGTTTATAACACAGCTCACATTCTAATATATCTGCATTCATAAATTTATTAATGTCATTTATACTAAACGACGCCATGTTTGTTATGTATCTCTGCCGTCTAAACTACCTATCAAAAAAGAAGAGGTGGAAGAGAGCCAGAAGATCTTCCCTATACAAAAAAACAGAAATGGACCTCTTCTGGCTCACTACCGAAGAACAAAAAAACACGCCCTAGGTGTTTATGTTTGAGAATAGATTATTAATAAGGGTAAATTTTGCAGTCATTTAATAGAGGCATTGACAAAGAGAAGGCTAATTGTATATATATGAGAGAACAATTTTCCTTTAGGACTATACGTAAGTTATAAATTATACCCCGATAAACATCGTTTAAGACCTTGTTTTTTTAACTTATTTTGGTTTATTTTTATTTTATTTCACCTACTACATTCACATTTCTTTTTATTTTATCTTATTTGGTTTTCGTTCTATTTCACTTTCCCTCGATTGTAAAATATTCTTCTATCTGAAATCACTTGAAATGATGATTCTGTGTATATCATTGACCATAATTCAAAGTGTTTACTTTGTTAATTACACTAACGTTTCATTTAATCTATACTTTTAATGAAATATTTGGTTTCCATGATGAGTAAGATAAAATAAACATAAAGCCTTATTGATAATTTAAAACTGTCAATAATTTCTGACTGTGAATTAACAAAATCTAGTGTTATCCGGAACGTCATTAATTACTATAATAGCTATACTGGAAACGATTGCTTGTGCATTAAGTTAAATGCAAAGCTGGGTATGTTTAAACATTCACGTTTAACTATAATTTAACTTGTACTTAAAGCACCTGACCACTTCCGCCATTTTTGAGACATGAATAATGATATACTAGTACATAATTGCGCAGTTGAATATTTCCAAACTTTGAAAAATTTCCTGGAAAGAAAAACATTTACATGGAATTCAATAAATAATGTCTGATAAAACGGAAACGCAAGAGAATCTTACAGCTGGAAAAATATGGGAGGATTTTATTGAAACAACTGGATTTCATGCAGTTAATAAAATTGATTTCGGAAAGAAGCATCCTCCTGGAAGAACGTAAGTCTCTTTTTAGTATACATATTGAATAAACAAAGATAGATTTTCTCGCTGCATTGAAGACCCATTGGTTGCCTTCGGCTGTTTTCTGCTCTATGGTCGGGTCGTTGTCTCTTTGACGCATTCTCCATTTCCATTCTCAATTTTATACATACTTTTTGGCATATCTAGCTTTTCAAATGTATTTATCGTACTCTCTGGTTGTCTCAAGATTGCGAATAATGTTTAAATGTTCGTGTAGATACAGTACATAAGAAAATAGCGTAACAAAAATATTACCTTTACGTGTAGTTGCTAACTTCCACTAATTTGGTCTCTGGTGGAATATTGTCTCAATGGCAATCATACCACATTTTTTTTTAATTTTTATATTTGTTAGTTTTCCTTTTACTGGTAGTTTAGTTAGAACTTTTCCATGAAAGGTACAGTTAGTTGTTGGTTTCCTGAATGTACCGAAGTCCCCAATTTCAATGACAGCTGTATTTAAAATAATGTTTTACTCCAACTGTAGATTAATAAAGACATTACAAATTGGTTAAAAAAAATAAATTTTGGAAAAGTTTATCATTTATTTTGTTTATTATTGAGTAAGGTTATGAATAATAGTATATCAAAAACTTTAATTGTTTACCTAATTCACATTTACGATTCTATAAAAGATTTGAGAGATGGCTTTCTTTTTCAAAATTATGATGATTATATCTCATAGGATTTTATAAATTTGTTGTTGTCAGTAGAAAGTTGTTTACCTGGTACTAAACAATGATCTTTTGTCAAATCTGGTTACGGCAAGTAGTATACAGTGTTAACAATCGAGTTTGATTTAGTGACTTTCAATTAGCACAGAGTGATGTAAAACTTCACCTTGATTCGGAATGTGTATATATATTTTGTGTTCGGTTTTGTTAAGGGTTAATTATCATGAAGGTAATCAGTAATCAGGCGCGTAGCAACCCGTACGCAAAAACGCAGTTGCGTACACATCGGAAATTTGACAAAAATAAAAATATGGCAAATCTAGTAATAATAAAACTAAAGTAATAGAATTAATTAAAAAGTATTATAAAAAATATGCTAATAATCACTTTGTAACTATATTTCGTTCCGGAAACTAGTCTACTTTTTTCATGTACGGAACAAGCATCGTGATTGTGTTGCTGATGCAGACATTAAAATAGCTGAGTCCTCGGGGTGTCAGAACACAATTGTTACGGCTGCAATGCCTCTTTAACCTGACATTTCTGAAGATTTCAAAATAACTGATAAAATAAAATATGACGTTCTAGGGCAACAAGTCATTCTTATGATTATCCTGTGAGATATGTATAGTCTTACATACGTCGTCATAACAGATTTTTTTAAACAGTCCAGTCAAACTTAATATAAACTTAAGATTGTTAATGGTAATTTTCTTACAACGTCTTCGCCGTTTTTTTTTTTATTTAACGATCAACGTGTTTTTACTTTTTTATTCTACGTTCGGTCGTGCAAGACGGGTGCCTCGTTCAGCATGTTCCTTCGATTTAACTACACATGCCTCGAGATTAAAAGTGCTTATTCTCCATGTTCATTTAAAGTGCTTATTCTCCTTGCTTGGTAAAAATAAGATACTCTCGTTTTGTAGATAAATAGAAATCGGAAATACTGAATTTGGTGCTTTTCCTTGTAGATTTCGGGACTTCAAACGTATTTATATATAGTTAAAGGTTTCCTAATTATGATATTATAAACAAGGATTTATACTCGGGAAACTTTAATATACTTAACGTATATGCATGTAAGCCGGTCTCGACGGCAACGACAGAACGATCTTTTGGTACCATGAGAAGACTAGAGAAATACAATGAAACCAATCGTTTATCTGGGCTTGGTCTATTGAACATATACCGTGAAAAACAAATTTCAACAGACACGGTTTTGGACATCTTCAGTAGATGAAAGGAAAGGAAATGGTCATTGACTTTCAGAATTAACTTTGAGAATTAAAAGCTAAAAGAAAGACTGTTTGTTCTCTTATAAAATAAAACATAGAGAAATGTAACTCCATTTATTTATATATATTTTCTCCAAAAAAAAATTCACTTAAGTTGCACGGTGTTGGCTTAGAAATTTGAATTTTCTAATGTATTGTTGGTTGAGACTGATTAGGTAACATTAAAATATATGGTAGTGGCACTATATATTTTAATTGTATCTATTATATAAAGAAGTTCTACCTACTACACATTAGAAGTTTGCTTTGTCTAATTAATTTTTTTTTTTTCAAATTTAATTATTTTAAAAAGTTGACTTGTTACTCATTATAATATGAGGTCGTTTTGAGTCCAAGGAAATCGCGAGAATGCAGGATTTTGCATCATTAACTTCAGAGCTTCTGGTGGCCTTCAGCGGCCCCCAGACACTCGCCGTATGACTTCCTTCACAGGCATTGAGTACACATCATGTGGGCCTAGCTACGCCCCTGGTAATTATCTCTTGATTTCTAGTAACAACTGATAGCAAAGTCATTTCGAATTTATATATCTTTATAAATAAAGTTATGATAGTTTGTATTATTTTATTTATAATATGATATTTCTTTTCAGTTTATTCTGGATGTGTATATGGTTGTTGTCAGCTGGTTACCTAATATTTACTGTTACAACTGAATTAATATCATACTACAAATACCCAACAACAACAACTGTGTCTGTGAAGAATAATGATGAGCTCGGTTTTCCAGCTGTCACCATCTGTAATCTCGCTACAAGGAACAGAAGCATGTTCACAGAGAATGACCAAACGGATGCATATTACCTAGGAATATCCGCTCTGTACGACACTGCACCAAAAGTAAATTGGAGTGATCCATTTTACTCAACAGAAGGATATTTTAATGAACGCACTCTCGATGATCTTTACATGGAATCGAAATCTTTATCTAAGTTTATTACATTTCACAAGTTTGACCTGAAACACTTTTATCTGAATTATACACCAGTCTCAACAGATCTTGGACTCTGTGTAAGATTTAACATGGGCAGTCCTCCAGAGAAAACTGTCATGCACGGAGGAGTATATAATCTACAGATGTACATAGATCTTCGTCTTGATGATGATTTTTTTGCTGCAACCTATCTTTCCTCTGGATTAAAGGTATTTAAGAAAGACCTGTTCATAATTGCATTTTTTGTTTCGTCGGGTTTTACTGATATGTTTTTGATGATAAATAATATTTTTTAAAGGCTTCAAATTTCAAGCAGCTCAACATTATCAAAAGGATATAGAAAAAAACAACTACTAGTAAACAAATATCAAATTTCAGATCCCTACAGTATTCATTTATGTTACTAGTGATTCTCCCAAACCATTTGCTCAACAGCATGCTAGAAAGCAGGCAAAGAACCAATCCACTGGATCACACACCACCAGGATAAAAAATGTCAAACGGATGTTTGATAAGATACAACCACTCCAAATTCTATCTCTATGATCATCTTAAAAGAATGAATATGAACCTTGTACAGTTTTTATATTCCTCATAGTACTACAAAACTTCAGATGAGATTGTTTATATTAGACCCTGTATTGTATATCTTTCAGAATATATAATATTGCTATGACTTGCAACATTGTTCATTTCTAAATGTAGTCGTAAAAACTGTGGTATTGTCATTACGGATATGTGTTTTCAAAGTAAGTTGACTCCAAAATATTACAATACACGTAGCCCTTAAAGTAAACTGCCTCTGATATTATAAGTTACATAGTGTGCTACTGACCTAATACGGTATATATGGGGTCAGTAAATTCCATATGGGGTGAGAGCGAAGCTCAAATCCCCATATGGAATTTACTGACCCCATATATACCGTATTAGGTCACTAGCACACTATGTAACGAATTTATCTTACCGACTATCTTAACGTGTGAAATTTAGACTAGTGACCTATCAAATGAGCAAGTCTTCAATACTGTTAGCATTAAGAAACTATTTCCATTGATCCTACAAAAACAGATACCAACAATAACAACTTGTTAGGTTTAAATGTGTTTTATGAATTAATATCAATCTTAATCATCACTTTCTTCGTCTGTTGAAACCTTTACGATTTTTTCTCAGTACCGTTTTGTTTTTATAAAGGGACGTAACACCACTACTAACCGTATATGAAATAAGCCCCGCCTCCCTACTACCTTATAAGGAATATAAAGGGACGTAATACCACTACTAACCGTGTATGAGATAAGCCCCGCCTCCCTACTAACCTAATATGAAATATACACGGTCTCCACGAGGGCGCTTTTAACCAATCACATTCCTAGAAATGTATAGGAGGTAAGATAATAATTGAGATATTGATGTTCTCTAATGGACTGATCTTAGTCGGCCAAATACGATAAAGACTAAACGAAAGAATGACTGATCACCGGTCTAATTTTAATGATCTTGATAACAAAACAATTATCTATAACTACTTTATCTAGCCTGACCATTTCATTCTTTCTATGAACGTAAGGATTAAAGAGAAAATATATAATTTAAAAATGACTCTTTATTTTGTACACCATATTCCTTACCAAAAGGTAATTTCTGGATTTGGAATTTAATAAAAGCTATTATTTACAAATGAAACAACAAAATTGATGGTGTAGGTATTTTGTATAGTTCTATGTTTTATCAACAAGTTATAACTATCCAACACCTCTTGACGCAATAGAAGTCATGGTCATCAACAATATACATCCCCTATTGGTCATACCGTGTCTATTGATTTGTTTGTTATTTCCATAGTTTTCATTAACTGTTTTCAATTGTTAAAACTCTATTTCAATAGGTCAAAATCACTTCTGCTTTACATATAAATTCATATAAAGAAACTGGTTGCAAAAATTATTGACATTTGCCAATCGCAGGCTATTCAAGTCCATGACAACTACTTCCAAAAATGACACAAAATTCTTTTTTTTAAAAAGAATTTGCTTATAATAATAATGGATTGGAAACTGTCAACATTAGTCTGACTAGAAGACCCCCGCGAGATCGCGGGGTCAATTGGGCAAGTGTTGAAACAAAGAGTTTTTAAATTTCGCGGGCAGTACGTCGACTGAGCATGCGCGAAAGCGTATAAGACACGGATCAATAACGGTCTCCAAATTTGGATATTTTCTCAAAAATTGGCATTCTCTGTAAAAAAAAGATCGTTTCAAAGACAAATTTAGGAAGTACAAAACACTACATTTATACGTCATATCACAAATATTTCCGACTTTGTATGGTTTCAGAGGACTTGCGGCTCAATGAAATCGGTCTCTTTCTTTAAGGTGCGTTCACATGGTACGATTTTTCCATTCGATTTTCATTCGATTTTTACCTATGCACCTGCTTTCGACTAAAATCGTACCGTGTGAACACTAAAATCGGCAGTCGAATTTCATGTCGAAACGTCGTTTTGAAATCGAAAGGTACGCTATTTTCATTCGACTTTTTGACTGGAATCGGATCGTGTGAACATAACGCTGTACGATTTACCTGTGCGACGGTATCAAATCGGATGCAAAATCGAAAGGAAAATCGTATCGTGTAATTGTACCTTTAGAAGTATATATATTTCCACCACAAATATGTACAGAGGACAATATCTGATTACGTCATGGATAAAACTACACTAATATGAACAGAAAACAATATCTGATTACGTCATGGATAAAACTACACAAATACGTACAAAAAACAAAATCTGATTACGTCATGGATACAACTTCACAAATATGTACAAAAAACAATATCTAATTACGTCATGGATAAAACTTCACAAATATGTACAAAAAACAATATCTCATTACTTCATGGATAAAACTTCACCTGTCATTCCATATACCTACACCAAACTCGATACATCTAATATTTTCAACCACAAATTGATATTAGACACTGTAACCTTGAAGGATGTAAATCCTCCCGATTGCTCTAGCTTATTCTTTCCAAAGAAATATAGTCCTACTGGCCGGACACCTTTGCATCGTAAAAAAATTAGAGAGTCGTAAGCAAAAAGCTAATTAACTGGAAGAAGAATTTAAGGTAACTGATGGATGCAGTTGAGGACTATTACAGAAGAGGGTAAAGCACAAGCCAGATAAACATTAACTGGACATTTCATCTTATCTTAACGGATCACAGCTGTGCAGTCATGCATGCAGAAGCGCATTGAAAAACTAGAATGTGCCATGTGCTCATTGGTTTCTACCCTATTCGAGAAGCCCGAGTTTGTGGATGCTTTTTCCTCCATTCACGATAAATATGGTGTTGATACAACAGACAAATCCTCAAATAAGTGTTTTATAATGCAAAAATCATTATTTGGAATGTTAAACTAAAGAATGAAATTCGACGGACATCTTGAAATCCTAAACATGCCGCCACATCACAAAAGATTAGCTTTAAAAAATCACAAATCCATCGTTCTATCCTTATGAAATAACATGCAAAGGTCGATGACAATCTCCCATCATTATACAGATTAGCTTAACTTCATTGACATCCTTTTTAAAAACGATATATAGATGAAGGCAACAGTAGTATACCGCTGTTCAATAGTCAAATATCGATTAAGCAAAAACAAATCCGGATCACACACCAAAACCGAGGGAAACACATCAACTATAAGAGGGAAACAACGGAACAACAGAAACACTGAACTGCTACAAAACAAACGCCAATACACATAGAAATGGACTATTTGAAAACAACTGCTATATTCCTGACTTAGTACAGGACATTTTAAGAAACAAATTTTAGGTAGAACCTGGTTTTATGGCTAGCAAAACCTCCCGCTTGTATGGCAATGTTAAAAATACCTCTAAAATGACAACATAACGTGACAAAAATACAGTACAAATAAACGCAAGAACACTCAGGACAGATAAATACATAAATAAATAATGTAATAGTAAACATGTAAACCACAGAATAACAACGGACACCTTCCATTAATTTACGACAGTACACCCGTACACTACAATAGAATTATGAACGTACTTCACACGAATGAAGCAACGCCACAAAAAGTGACGTCACAGGTAAATTTCTAAAATAGAATATAAAATTGGGATTAAGTTTGTAATGGTGTTATTTTATGTATTTTCTAACCATTACAAGAATATTAATATAGAATTGTGTTAGTAATGGTGTAATTGTTTGTATTTTCTAACCATGTCGGTTTTTCTTCTAAATCAAAACTGTGTAAAAACAAATAAATCCTGCATATAGTTGCTTAAACTAAAAATCATATAAATGAACTAGCTGATTAGTTATCTTAACTGTAACATACATAAAGAAAATAAAAATAGAATTCAAACAACAAACGATAAAACATAACACAATATCTAACCAGACTTACATAAGAAACATCATAACTAAATACATGAATGTTGGATGTATAAATACTGAGACACGTCTAATAGCAATGCGAATTCACACTCGGCAAAACAGTCATATTCCTGAAAACAGTCATATAGCCAGGTTCTGTAGATTTCGACGAAACTTCCTTCTAAAGTACTAACTATCATTCTTTCAACAGGAAAAGATGGATTTCAGAAATATATTTTGATGAGGTATATTTAACCAGTAATGTCAATTAAATGTTGATCCTTAAAACCTGTTATGATCTACCCCGAAATCTTCAATCACAATATTTTACGATGTTGCAGTCATATCAAAAATTTTTAATCGTTATACATTTTACACAACATTTCCCATGCTCAATTAAAAGATCACTTAAATCGTGTCATTTAGCAAAAATCAGACTTTTACTTACTAATTCCTTCTTTTCGTCATGAAAAATCGAACTTTGAGAAAAATCAGTTTGGTTTTAATAGCAAATACACCTAAGACGAAATCATAAAAACACTGTACTATTTTTATTGAAAACATATTTGTTGTGTTTGGTGGATTGTTATTTCAACAGACAGTCGGTATAGCCAATGGGTACTAATTGAAATGAGAATGGAAGCATCCCTAGATACTGGCCGACTTGTTTTTCATACAGAGCCTTCATGCTAGATGAAAAAGCATCTTGCAAAGTTTTTTTGGTGTATTTTTCCTTCTGGTATATTGATGATGTCCGGTCAATTATCCACTTTTCAGTAGATGCTTGCTTATTACTTACTCCAATGAATTTAATGTTAAGGATACTACCGTAAATATAAGGTTTCTTTTATATCTTGATATTTTCAACAAACTAGAATCTATGCCAAACCTTATTATTTTAACTTTCAAATTGTCAACTTCCCATTTCATACACAGGGACGTGCACCTGAGGATATTTCTTCGACAGAGTTTTGAGCTTATATGACACTCACGAATTGTTTTTTTACCGATACGACGTGTCTGTGTCTCAACTCACTAGCGACACGTTTTCACGGTCTCTGATCTTTAGATACAAAACGTCTCCTGATTTGTATATTTACCAATTGTGTCCTATTACCGATTGTGACGTTTACTGAATGTGGATTACCATGGCCGTTGATGCATACATAGCAGGAGACGCCTTCTCAATCTTCTTACCCGGTCTTGTTCCTTTTTGAGCTCATGCGATTACCTAAGCTTTTACCTTGGATTTATTAGATCTAAACATCGGAAAATAACTCACTGTTGCTTCTAGTTTAGACGTGTTTTGTGTACTTAATAGTTTATTTTCAATAAATTTCTGCATTATAAGTTATTATGTACCCGTACTTTGAGATAACATGTCTGGCAATGTCTTTAAACGCTTTATGACTTTCTTTCTATTGTTTTATTCCTATATGTTCCCTTCGAGAGATATTATTTCTTATAATTGGTTCGATAAAACAAGCTGTTTTTTGTATTACAATTACAATAATTACATAATAGTTTCATTATAATACGTTATTTTGATTGGCTAACAGCAATCTCGCGTCATTCTGAAATTAACCTGCATTTCAAAATGAAATGTAACATTCATGATGACATGATCTTCCACAATAAAGTGCACAGGTAAATAAAAGAAAAACTTGATAGAAATCGTGTTTTCATGATCCTAGCAAAAAAAGTTCTTCTTTTAGTAATTTTATAGGGTTGTAAAAGCGTTGACCGTGCGCACATTTTTAGAAGCGCTTCATACAAAATGTACTTCGGTCAACGTTTTTACACTCCAATAAATTTACAAAAAGAAGCATTCAATTCTTAAATAAACCACGAAACGGTAGAACGTACAGCAAACCCAAACCATTATTGGTGCACAGCTAAACAATGGGTTTTATGCATAGAAGTTCGGGAGAAACGTAAACAAAATAGTATTTTTAAAAATCACATGAAAATATTTGAATCACCCCTCGTGGGAAAGGGAAAAAGTCGAATGAACGGAGTTGCATAACACTGCTACTTTTATCCCAAAAAAAATGAATAAGAAGATGCTGAAAGCAAAATTTCTGTTTAGCCTTTAATTGTTTATCTCACAATATTTTTTAAATGATTATATTATATTTATCTATAATCATGAATTATTATTTTTTCAAATTAATCTGTCTATAGATATTTTTTTACAATTTGATAAAGATATGTTTTGCTTTAAAGTTATTGAGCGATTCGCCTTTTATTAGAATAAAGTTAGACAGGTTGTTATGTAGACTATGTAACAGGTCAACAGGTCGACTAGTCGACAGGTAACTGGTCAACAGGTCAACAGAAATTTTAGAAAACAATTATAGAAAACATGAAACGAATTGATATATGAAATAGTTAATATTTTCCTGTCAAACTGTAAAATTGTTGTCGTTCTGATTATTTGAATGTTTGCCAAATAATTATAGAAACAAACAAGAAATGAATTGGTGTAATTTTTAATTGATATTTGTTCTATTGACCTGTCGACCTGTTGACCAGTCGACCTATGAACCATCCGACCTATAGACTTGCTAATATGTCGACTAGTTAACATTTTAACTGCTTACCTGTCGACTTGTCGACTTGCTAACATGCCGACCTGCTAACCTATCGACTTGCTGAGATGTTGACTAGTTAACCTATTGATTAAACGGCTAGGCTGTCGACTTGTCGACCTGTTGATCTGTTTTCAGGACAATTTTCCGCCAAAGGACTTGTCGACTTGTTAACCTGTCAACCTGTTGGCCTGTTGATCCGCTGATATACCAATATGTTGACCCGATGACCAGTTGAAAACATGTTCTCCGTAGTTAATTAAGCGAAAATTTAAAAAGTAACTTGAAGTAAAGTTTAGAAAGCGTAGTAATTTGTGTTGCATATGCGTATGCCGGAACTATATAAACATTTACTATACTTGGCCAAATTTTTGCTGAATGTGCTCACAAATTGTCACAAACGAAGGTTGACTTTATTAGAAAGTTAAATCCTTTGATTTTTATGCTGTCAAAACTATATAGTGTTACTCAAAACTTGTTTTGTAATGAGTAGGAGTAAGGGGCTTAGCTTAATTATTTTATCGCTGTGGCAGTTTTTCTCAAAATCTAATTACAAGTACATATCATTTTTATATACCGGTACCCATCTGTTGTTTGGGCTTAAGGATATAATCATTCAGAAACATTTGTCCGGCCTTTTTTTGTATATACGTGTAATGTGATTACAAATCAAGTTCGCTTGGTTAAGTTTGGGATGACCTTCTTATCGGACAATAACATCTTTTGAACAGCAGTCGGGTTCATTGGTATCGTCGAAACAAATCACATTTATCATGTCAGATGATGGCTGGTTTGTTAGCCATCTGTTAGAAGATTTTATGAAATCCTGGAAATAAAAAGAAATGGCCTTATAATAAAATAGTGTAGCTTATATATTAGTACTATTTTTCTATTTACAAGGTTGTTGTGCATGACCAAAGCGAGGTTGTACTGATGGCAAATGACGGTTTTGTTGTACCTGCCGCTTCTGAGGCTTTAATAGAAATTTCAAGAAAGGAGGTATGTTGTTTTATTCATGACATACAAGTACTTGAATATTTATTTTTTAGTTGTTCTACAAATGTGAAGTTCTAGAACTCTTCGAAAAACACTCATAGTACACTTTGAGTAATAATACAAATATTATAAAGATCTTTTCATATTCAATTTTAGTATAATTCCAAAACTTGAGGTCATCTTTGGGTCCAAAATCCCTAACAATTGATTTGTGTAAGGTTTTTTAAGATGGTATTGGTAACGATTTATGTTGTGTTGAAGACCGTGTGTTCATAAGGTTTTCTGTGTTGTAGGGTGGCTATATCATTGACGTATACCCGACTTTTCCTTCATCCTTTATCATCTAATGTTATGGATTATTTTCTTTAATATCTGATTTTTCTTCTCTCCAATATGTTGGTGTATAGCACCAAAAGGAATTGATTGTATTGTGCAGCAAATTGATTTTGTTTCAATTTATTTTTTGACAGTACAAATACCTACCACCTCCATTTATGGCATTTGAAGATGACACATGTGAAGACAAGAGATCCAACTATAGTACATCTAAATGTCATCAACGCTGTTTGCGAGATTTCCTACTACAACAATGCAGTTGTGTTGGTTTTATGTTTAACAGTCGTGAGTTGATATCAGTATCCAATCTTTTATAATTTAGATAGAACGCATATTCATTCTCACGTGTACATTGTACAAACATTAATTGTACGTTGCCATTACAATCTTGTTGACTTTGTTTTTGCATGATACATGTATGTTATTCTAAGCATAACATCAATTTAAACGACTTCAGATCAATCAGTAATTGTTAAGACTAATTACCTATTAATTATGTTATTTTTAAAGGTGTAATTATTAAGAGTAATTATTTATCCATTATCTTATTTTTAGAGCTAGTCATATATGAAGTTTTTTTTCATCTTTCTGTGTAAAGAACGTTGGATTTTGGTCTTTTAATTTTTCTTCTGTATTTTTATCTGAAATATTGCTTTTGTTTTGCAACATGTTGACAATGTATATTGTTTATGATATGGTTTTGAATTTCACATTTTTTAAACAAACTCTTTTCTGTATAAGAGTCAGCTCTTTGTTTACTCTTCTTCTTATTATCGCTTGTTTTCGGAATCCGCAAAAGATATCGCTGAATTTTGTTCTCGGAAATATTCGTTACTTTGTCAAAATGATCTGTTCAATTTGAACCAAAGAGATCAGGTTGGGTATAATTAGAGTTATTTTCTTTTTTTCTGTTCGACATAAAAGTATGCCGATGCAACTCATAAACCATAAGTCATATAGAGACCGATAATTTTAAAAATGAGGTCATTTGTCCATAGGCAGGACATTGCAGTCAATAATCTTAGCTTCTTATCGCAACTCCCAAGAAACCATAAAATTTATCGACACAAGGTTTTATCAGATTGTTATTTACAACTTGACGCATACATTTGGGTAGAAGTGCTTTGGGGACTTTTAAAAGAAGTTTTATCCCCTCAAATATTAAAAATAAGCGGTTTGGTAGGTTAAGGATGTATTCTTCTGACGTTTCAGTCTCGTTGAAATCTCGTTCTGGAATTATTTCCAAAACATGTGATACAAGTGGAAAATAGCAATGAATTTAATAAATATCATAATCAAACTAAACTCTGTGAAGTAGTTTTTGAGTAATAAATTTTTCAAATTTTATTACCAATCAAGGCAGTCTTTTTAGCCAAAATTTTGAGAAAATGGGTAAGGGGTACAAAAAATGATTTTACCAGAAACATGTTCATCCCATATCACTTTTTTCTTTTCAAATTTCTAAAATATGTATTGTTTTAATCATTTATAACAAAGAACTTGAATTAATATGCATTTTGTTCTTAAAACAGAGACAAATTTACAAAATTGACAGCATGGTAAATTTGACAAGAAAAAACATCATAATATGATAAAACTTTCTTATATTAACACCTCCCTATAGTTTTTTATGTTAAATTTATTCAGATTGGTCCAATTCATCTTTATTGAAAGTATGAAAAAAAGTTTAATTGTGGGACTGTGATTTTTTTTCACGATAATAGCCCAAAATTGGGCAAAACCTGATGAAAAATGGGAAAATCATAAAAAATTGGTACTTTCAAAGAGCCGTAGCAAAAAAAGAAGTGCACCACCATATGATTTTTTCTTCACCAATTATTTTTTTACAGGCATATAAATCCAAAAATCAGGTTAAGAAAAAAAGTTTAATTCTAGAAATTTTGGGCTCCTCAGAGGTGTACATCCTTAAGTTCCAAACCATATATTTTAGAGACTTGAGGTCATTTGATTTGAGATACCTAATTTTTTACTATGAAATTGAGGTCAATGTCAAAAGACAGGCGAAAGATACCAAAGGGACATTCAAACTCATCAGTCGAAAATAAACTGACAACGCCATGGCTAAAAAAGAAAAAAAGACAAACAGACAAACAATAGTACACAAAACACAACATTTACATTGTGTCATAGGTCAAATTTATTTGTTCAGTGTATGTTCAATGGTGTTAATATGTCCTTTGAGTGAGTTAAGCTATTTCAGTTGATATCTTATAGTGTGTCTTTCTATATTGTTTCAGAAAAAGGGTGAAGGTTTGGTACCATTAAAACGTTAAAACCCGCTGCATTTGTTTGCACCTGTCCTAAGTCAGGAATCTGATGTTCAGTAGTTGTCGTTTGTTGATGTGGTTCATAAGTGTTTCTCGTTTCTCGTTTTTTATATAGATTAGACCGTTGGTTTTCCCGTTTGAATGGTTTTACACTAGTAATTTTTTGGGGCCCTTTATAGCTTACTTTTCGGTGTGAGCCAAGGCTCCGTGTTGAAGACCGTACTGTGACCTATTATGGTTTACTTTTATAAATTTTGACTTGGATGGAGAGTTGTCTCATTGGCACTCATACCACATCTTCTTATATCTATAGAAAACCAAAGACTGAGCAACGCAAACCCCACCAAAAACTGGGGGTGATCTCAGGTGCTCCGGAAGGGTAAGCAGATCCTGCTCCACATGTGGCACCCGTCGTGTTGTTCATGTTAGTTCAAACCGGTGATAAGCTGAAGTCTAAATTGGTAGGTCACATTCGGGCGAAAGGGGATGGGATTGTAGTTACGACATTAAAAATTCATTTTTTTAAAGTTTTTAAGTACCGGTATTCTAATACTATTTAAATATTGTAAACCTTCTAAATTGAAACTATAGTAACTTATTTCGATGGAAATGCATGTGAAATCTCTCTCTCTCTCTCTCTCTCTCTCTCTCTCTCTCTCTCTCTCTCTCTCTCTCTCTCTCTCTCTCTCTCGTCAACCGTTACTTTTCCTTATTATATCGACGAAATTCCAGTCCGCGTTCATATGTGTTATAATAATTTGAACGTAGCTATACTTACGCGGTTTTTTTGTTTTGGTAGTAACTTTGTCAACTGGTAAATTTGTAGGTAACTTTTTATTTCATATATTTCCAATTATCATTATTTTAATGATATTCTATTTGAAGAGCCTTTTATGGGTTTTTTTCCTCTCAAATTCTGATAACTAAATATCGTTTGATATTTCAAGTTTGTGGTTTTTTTTTTTTTTCAGCCACTGGAAAATATTGTTCAAAAGAAAGATTTTCAGAGTGTTTTATGCCGGAATTTTGTAAGTAAAACCATTATAAAGAAGAATGCAATCTACATCGTTGTATGAGAAACATTTTATACTAGAAAGTAAAGACGATCAATCTCCCAGAACTACCTACATTGTCACACTTCAAATTAAATAGTAAAACTTTCAGAGGAGATTTGTGTAGGGTTGTGTCAAGGGTATAGTGAAATGCATAATATAAAAATAAGGAGATGTGGTATGATTTCAAATGAGACAACTATCCACAAAAGCTCAAATGAAGTGGATGTAAGCAATTATAGGCAACCGTACGGCCTTCAACAATGAGAAAAAAACACAACCGTATAGTCGGAAATAATAGGCCTCGACATAAAAAATATGAAACAATTCAATTGAGAAAACTAACGGCCTAATTCATAACAAAACAATTTACGAAAAACAAATATGACAGACATGAACCAACGACAACCACTGAACTACAGTCTCCCCGACTTGGGACGACAGGCACATAAAGAATGTGGCGGGGTTAAATATGTTTGTACACAAAATAAAAAAATTAAAAAACAATTGGTGTGTCAGAAGCGCATTAACCCCAAATTTTGAAAGTAAAGGGTGTATACGTGAGAAGCGCTATGAAAGAATGGATTCCGCAAAGAATAGCCAAATTCATCAACTTTGCCTTAAGGAGTTGGAATCTTAGTTTCTTCAGAATTCTAAAATTTTGAAATGAAACTTGTGAAAAGAATGTTATATATCATGTAAGTACCGAAATACCATTTTGAGATAAGTATTCTCTCCGTGACTTACAGTCCTCCTGGAGCGCTAACAACCCTGTGTTAAAAATTGAAAATAACACTTCATATATTTGCTGCTTCCGAACCGGTTTTCTGGATTAAGGTAGATAGGGTGTCTTCCTCCATCTTGGATTTTGAAATACCAGAAAACAATCGGTTTAAATCTTTAATAAAATGTGCAAAATTCGAGAGTAGTAGTTAATTCATGTGTAAGAATTTTCATTTCAAAATAGAAAATGACATGTTTTATCATATTTATGGTTGTATTTTACAAAAGACAGAATACTTTTGTTGGATTCAATTTTTTCCAATTTTGCAACATAAGGGGAGGTAATTCAAATGTAAGGGCAGATAATTCAGATAAAGTTACTTTTATAATAGAATGTGTTAGGATTTTTCCTATTTTATTATGTAGCAAGAAAACGAGTCCCGTGACCCCATTTTTTCTTTTTCTTATCTGAAAGCAAAATATTAGAGCTATCTTCTCATATTTTATCTCAACATTCTATGGTGTAGTTTTCGTTTTATGGTAGAAAATTGGGTTTTCCATGCATAATCTATTAAATCTGTCAATTTTGCTCAACCTGTAGTGTGAAAATAAGTCCCGTGACCCATCTTTTTATTATTTTTTTTTTAAAAGAATGATATAAACTACATTTTGGCAAATTATTAAAAAATTCTATGGATTATAATTTAGACACCCCATCTACCTTAAGCTTCATCAGAAACTACGAGAAGCATATATGCTTATTTTGTTTGCACTTTAGACCATAACCTGACTTACTAGATGAATTCCGAATATGACGTTTTATTCTCTTGAATGCGTGTTACGTTGATTTCTAACCTTTCTTAGAAATGTCAGAAAAATCTGTCTTAGACTTGTAATGAAGAACAGTTCAACCTAGAGCACTTCTACCCTAGAGTGGAACTGTCTAAAGCTGTTCCAAGGTAAACTGTGTAAATCTGTCAGAATCTGCTCTTGGGTAGAACAGTTCTGAATGACGCAAATGAGACTAGCTCACTGATCTAATTAAGAATAGGGGTAGTTAGCTGGATTCTACCTGTGAGTCATGTTTCACATTAGAATTCGTAAAGGGTTACGTGGAACTCTGTTTCTCGCCTGCTGTTTCTACTGCCAGTTTAAAAACGTGATGCTGACTGCTAAAGCTAAGTGCATTTATCAATAAAATACGGAGGGGGAGTATAACTTTTTGCTTGAATGGTAATTCACGAAGAAGCGTCTATACAAGTTTCATAACATTCCATGAAGGTTTGCTAAAGTTATTGACGACTAAAAAAAATAATCGTAGACTGTATTTAAATGTAAGCTGCAAACCAGCTTATTCTATTTATCGGTATAAAATGGAGAAATAAAAATATTTTAAAAATTACACCAGACATTATTTCTAAATCATAAAAAGCTTCTGATACTGTATATTTATCTTTAAAAACCTTTCCCAAGTTTAGTTTAATTACATTAATGTTTGACAAAGTTGTTGATGTCTGGAACACTTAACCTTGGACTGCATCTCAAAGTATAATACAAACAAAATTCAGTCCATTTATCACAAAAAATCGAAATATGGAAAAAAAAATATTGTCACAATTTTTGATATCGTCTTTTGATAATAAAAGAGCTTCCATCCAATTTTCATTAAATTCCATTAGGTTTTAACAAAGATAATGATAATTAAAATAACTGTAATCACAGTTTGACACCGCCTACTACAGAACGAAGGATCGGTGTGTCTCACTTAAGGGACAAAATATCGCAGGCTCGACAACAAGGATCAAAACAAGGATCAAATAGGAAAAATAATTACAGTCTTGGATGTATGTTTTATTTCTGTTGTTTCTTCCTGTTTATAATATCGATAATTAAAATATATTAATTTAGATATAATAATGCCAAAGCAGTGAGGAAATAAACTTATTATATTCCGTAATTATTATGAAAACTAATAGTAATACATTATCTTTAGAAAGACTATGATATGAGCACTCGATGAGGTGTCTATTACCTGTAGAATATGTACAAATAAATGGATTACACAGTGACCAATTTAGTCTGTCTGAGCGTGTTTATATCTAAGTCTTTCTGATATTAAAAAATCTTATGTAATGACACAAACATGTATGGTGTTTTGTATGTTTAAAATTGAGAATGGAAATGGGGAATGTGTCAAAGAGACAACAACCCGACCATAGAGCAGACAACAGCCGAAGGCCACCAATGGGTCTTCAATGCAGCGAGAAACTCCCGCACCCGGAGGCGTCCTTCAGCTGGCCCCTTAAAAAATATGTATACTAGTTCAGTGATAATGGACGTCATACTAAACTCCAAATTGTACACAAGAAACTAAAATTAAAAATGATACAAGACTAACAAAGGCCAGAGGCTCCTGACTTGGGACAGGCGCAAAAATGCGGCTGGGTTAAACATGTTTTTTGAGATCTCAACCCTCCCCCTATACCTCTAGCCAATGTAGAAAAAACAAACGTACAACAGTACGCACAGTAAAACTCAGTTTAAGAGAAGTCCGAGTCCGATGTCAGAATAGGAAACAAAAGAAAATAAACAAAATGACAATAATACATAATTAACAACAGACTACTAGCAGTTACTGACATGCCAGCTCCAGACCTCAATTTAACTGATTGAAAGATTATGTCTTCATCATATTATTTATATTTGAAGAATTAATTGACTACACGCGAATTATCTGAACATTTGTGAATTTACCGCAATGGGTTAGTCTGAACATGACTGAACAATTCATTTTTCATACTTTTCAAATGATTTTAAGACCAAAAGGACCGTTTAGGACAAACATTTATCTACTAGTGATCTGTTCTATGTCAGAACTGTCCGCAACTGTTCTGGGCCTAACTGCCACAATCTGTTCCAGGTTAGAACTATCAAAAATTGTATTAGGGTAGAACTGCTAATGTCAGAAACTGTTCTTAATGTGTTAGGAAAACTGTGTAACAGACTGTTCTAGAACAGTTCTCCTGACAGTTCCCGACAGATTTTAAGAGAGGTTAGAATTGATCTGATCCCACTGGTAAATTACAATTTGGCAGATACGATCTGGATAAATGTAAGGACGTACACCAAATGTTTTATAAGACAATCATAGAGATTAAACATTTATATTTCTTGCTACAAAATATGAGTTGTGTACATTGATTTTTTTTATATTATTTACCATATTTTGCACAATCGTGTTGTCTTCAATTATAATAAGTGATGGTGTATTTTAGCACTAACCATTTCTAGTTATTTGCTTACTTTTTTACACGACCTGAAAATAAAACTAAGTATACACACATTTATTTTTCAGGGAATTTTTTGAAAAAAGGCGTCAATTGTAGTTGTCCATTCCAATGTCAATATACAGAGTATGATACAAAATTGTCATTTGGTTTGTTTCCCTCTACATTTATGTTGAAATCATTGGCAACCGTGCTCAATGAAACAGAGGATTACATCAAGTATGTTTATGTATCAAATAATTCAATCAATAAATTATTTGAGGCTCAATTAGACATGTTATAAGTTTTTTTTATTCCAGAAATTATGGAGCTGGTTGGTTTGATTTGTTGCACTTACGAAAATTTTTACTAGTTCGTGTTATAATTCATTTATACTAAAAATCGAAACGTTTAGGTAGAAGTATAGGCATCCCTTCAACCTTGTGAGTGTTTGGTTCTTATAATATTCAGGTTTTCTGCATATTCATACAGTTAAGGTCTTAATATGCAGCGTTTGTCGAGTCAGCGCAACGAAAAAGTTCAAAAAGGCATCTTTTGTGTCGAGCAGATGATATTTTACAATATCGATATTATCATAAAATTTTGAAAATCTACTCGTGATATAATTGTATTTGTATGGGATAGAAATGGCCGCGTTTCTTTGCTAAAGAAGCAAATATACGACCGTTATAAATTAAATATAGATCATAGTTATTAAGGTCGTTTCTAACATATCTAACATTACAAATCCTTGATATGTAGCTATGTGAAGCGTTAAACAGAGTGACACAGTCACAAAAAAGACCAATACAAGTAAAAGAACATTCATTTCAACAATATTTCAATCTAGCGCCGAACGAGCATTTTTATTTGAGTAACATCCTTTTATGATAAACTATTTACAAATTTGAATCTACCTTGTACCACTTGATTAATTTTAAACAATTTAATAAAAGATTTAGAACAACATAACTTGTACTTGATTTATGAAAAATATCTCTTATCTGCCCACGTGTGTTTTAACAAAACAGGCCAAATAGAGATTTGTTATACAAGAAAAAGGTTAGACATTTCACGGGAATTGGATATTGCTTGAAATCAATTTTCTGTATTTAATTTCAATAAAATTAATTTTTCTAATTCCTCATTATATTGAAATATCACGAGGTTTAATTGTAACTCGTTATTAAATCTATAAATATATTACTGAGTTCGAAAATGAACTCTGATGTTTGTCTGTTGTCCTATTTTCATTATTTCTCACACATAGGGTTTGTTTTTAAATCAATGCAAACACTCGAATACTTCATTATATCTATACGATGTGTTTTCCCAACTCTCTAGCGACATGTTGTGTTTGGTCTTAGATTTTTAAGATGCCAGATTAATTGTTTGTCCTGTAAAAAAGTATAATAAAAATACCGAACTCAAAGGTAAATTCAAAAAAGGGGAAGTCCATAAAAACTGACAAAAATCAAACGTCATACACCATCAACCAACGGAACGAGCGGAAAACAAATGTCGTATTCCAGACTTGGTACAGGCAAATTTCGAAGAATATGGTGGATTAAACCTGGTTATATAGCTAGCTAAACCTCCCACTTGTAAGACATTTACTTATAGTTCCGTTATATTTGACAAAATTGGGTGGAGCATCCAAACAGACATGATGGTTTTTAATTTACCGGTGGTGCTTTATTCGCTATTGTGACAATTTGACTGAGTATGGATTTGAATAGCAGGTGATGTATGCAAAAATGTGTTACAAAAATACCGAATCGCTCCTTTTGGTGTTTCCTTCAGGTCTTGCTGTATACCTTGATTAACAAATATAGAAAATGACTGTGTTTGCAGGAAATTTAAAAAAAGCACTTCAAAAAATACAAAATCAGATTCGTTACCAGTATGATTTTGGCCATTCCTGTCCATACAGCAGAAAAGCCTTCATTCAGTACATTAAGTGTCTCTTGATCATATTTAGTAATCTACCAGTATGTTTCCTGTTCATACTTTGATACCCCTCCAGTCATTCTGTTGTTTATCACACTTTTGTACTTGTCCGATTACCTACCCTGTGTTATCATAAGTTAATACTATTCCAGTTTCTATTTGTGTTTTGGCATTAATTTACATTAATTCCGCTTGTCTTTGTCCCTGATCGGTCATAGAAAAATAGAGAGAAAGGTGCTTTCGATTACTACTAAATATAATACTCTTTGAGAAAATGGAATCAAATTACGTTCAGTGCGAAATGGCCTAATGGCCTACATGAATCATGATGGACATCTACCAAAGAAGTCTGCTTAAATGCGTAATAACGGCACCTTTAACTTACGGTGAGTAAAGAGTTATTGTTCAATATTGACTGTCTCATTTTGACTTTTAGGTGAATAATTAGCTTTCCGTTGTTGTTTTTAATGTGTTGTAGTGTTTCGTGATATGAATTAATAAAACTCATCCATTCTTTGCGAGTTAAATAGTAAAATGTTCATTTTCTATTTCAGAAATAATTATATCAGTCTAACATTGTTTTATAAAGATTTGAAGACTACAATTACTGAACAGAAACCAAAGTATGAGAACGTTGGAGATGTTTTTTGTAAGAATTTACTAGATCTTATCGTTGAATATGTACAAATTCTACACGACCTCAGCTAGCATCCGTGGTCACCCTTATGCTTAATAAAGCCATTCAATTGCTGTCCCATATATGGGCATTCATTATCAAAATAAGAAGATGTGGTATGATTGCCCATGAGACAACTCTCCACCTGAGACCAAAAATGGTTTATTCAAATTGATAATAATATGGAAACATACAGAAACAGGTCACACATTTATCATGTTTATATTTCCTCCAATGCAATACATTAACTATGATGTAAACAATTAATATATAACAAGAGGAAGGTTTGGAATAAAAGTGTGATATCCTACAACTTATTTATAATACAAGATTTGATGATAAGCAAAACAAGGACACAACGTTTTACTTGGAAATAGTTTGACATACGTACACTAATTATAAAACCATCACGTTTTGGTATCTTTTTTATTTTTACTGCCTCTACCCCCCTTGCAATGCAATTTTGTGTTTGCACTCATCCGCCTCTATTGTTTATACTGGATCAAACACTATAAAGTAACATCAACTCTCCGATATTAATATGTCAGTTCTGTTCCATATAAGTCTGAATAAAATACAGATCCTGTGTCCGAGTTCTGCTGACAAGGATCATAAAACACTCCGTTCTACTTTCTGTTTTAAAGAACTTTCGGGACTCTCTGACGTCGTCGAATATAAACACACTTTCAACAATTTTAAGGCTGAAATTCAATTGGCTGATTGAAAAATTACCAGAACAGAAAGTAAAACGGAGTGTTGTCATATCCTTGTAATTGTAAGCAAAGCTTTGACACAGGATCTGCATTTAGATCAGATTGGTTCATTTTTGCATTCGTCGTACTACGCATACACAAATCAATTGAAAAGATTAATAGATTATATATCTGCTTAAATTTGCCTGCTTAGGTCGATTGTATGAATTCGGGTATGTATTATATTAATAAGACTCTAGATATATGGTGGCCCGAACCTACGAATTTCTAATAGTTGACATTTTTACTCTGTTTTAGCTAATGTTGGCGGACAAATGGGATTATTTCTTGGTGCAAGCATTCTAACCGTTACTGAGCTGTGCGAATTTATTTTGTTTGTCGCATGGTATTTACTTGTTCATCTTTTTAGAAGAAATGTAGTTGTTCAAAACGGAAATAAAATACACCTATCGATTCAAGAACAGAAAAAATAATTATCTTTTCATCTCTATATTTGCTTAGATACAACTTTATCGGCAATTTATATTCTTAAAACTATTCTAAAGGTACTAATTTTCAGTGATTTCGTGGGTTAAAGTGAACCGCAATTTCAATTGATCACCGAAATACATATTGATATAGACTTGTATTGAGAAAATTACGAAAACCACAAAATCATGTATCCACAAAAATGTATTTCTTGAATGCACGAAAAATTAATATCCAAGAAAATGAATGAATCCAAATTATGTTGTTAAGGTATCAGAGATACTTTTGATATTTATTGTAAATACATAAAGAATTTTTATTTACCTTAAGATCAGGGAGTTGTAATGAACAAACTTTGATTTGGAGATAAAATATACAAATTTCATAGATTAATCGCATTTGGTTCATTGTTTTTTTTTTGTTTTTTTTATTTGGTAAATATTAATTGTTGGACATTCTTACTAACAAAATGCTACTATCAGATCAGATTTTTTTCCGGAAAATCCATCACGAAATAAATGCCATATGATAGTCATTGTACAAGAGGAAATATACTTGTTAGTAGATAAATAGAAAATACCAGAAGAGGTAGTATTGTTCGGAGATACATTTTCGTTTGTGTAATACAATTAATAAAGTGAATGTTGAAAAGTAACTAGAGTTTTCGTTTATTTCTTCTGTCTAAAAACGAATTACGTTGAGTAATAGAATAGAAGATTCCCTTTTGCAATAATAATGGAGGCTTATAACAATTACTTCAGCTTAACACTTAAGTTTTCCCAACAGTACATTCTTTCGACATCACAGTACTTCGCAAACATGTATCCAAAACTGCAGTATTGTTTTACTTCAAAGTTTTGAATGATAATTTCATAGATATCCTTGCATCCGTATAACTTTTAGAATAAGTATGTTTTGGATCAAGAAAACATTCATATAAATACAATAAACAAATGTTGTTGGGTGTTCAAGTATATATGTATTCGAATAAGATCGAACAGCATTTCTCTATAATAAACAGTCAAAAAGCAAATGGAAGAACATGTTAACTCAATGCTCTTCAACTTTTTACTTGTTTTGGCTTTCTAACTGTTTCGATCTGAGCGTCACTGATGAGTCTTATGTAGACGAAACAGGCGTCTGGCGTATCAAATCATAAGCCTGGTACCTTTTATAACTATTAACAACAGCAATACATAAATACTGGACATTTAGACAAGTGATCAAATGAATACTACCCCAGCTTGAAATATAACACCAACATAAAAAAAATTAGTCATAACAAACAGGCTATAAACATATAAACAGAATCCCGATTAGAATAAAGGTTGCAACGGTACTTCTTTTCTACAGACGATTAGAGCAGCTTACAATCAGAACATAGTAGAATAAACTAGTTAACAATGTAACCAGCTTATAGATACTTCATAACACTTCCTTCTGTGATGTTAAGTCTTAGAGCTAATACGAGTATCAGTATTTATAAAGATATTGTCAGTAAATGCCATGTGCTTCTTGCTTCGCAATATAACAACAAATAGCTTGAGTTTATGCAACTAATAATTAATTAGTTCCGAGAGTCTAACCACTTCCTTTATATTTATAATTTCAAGATAAATTTTCAGTAAAAATGTGGGGTGACACTAGATGCGGTATCTGTTCATATGGATACAATTATTCAGAAACCGGTATTACGAAACGTTTTCTAAATTGGAAAACATTCCATATAAACGCAAATATGACATGTAAAAAGAGGAAAATTCTAAACTGAAAGTCCCTAAGTAAATGGCAAATTCAAAAGCTCAAACACATCAAACGAACGGATAACAACTGTCATATTCCTGACTTGGTACAGGCATTTTCTTATATATAAAATGGTGGATTAAACCTGGTTTTATAGCTAGCTAAATCTCTCACTCTATGACAGTCGCATAAAATTCCACTTTGATATAATGTATATCTTGCGTTAATCGCCAAAAATATTATACAGGTCAGAACCGGTAACACTATTTGTGAACGGATTAACAATATCAGAAAATTCAAAAAGTAAACCCCTATTGAAATAGAAAATTTTAAATAATGCCGTTCTTTGAATGAAATAGAGAGAGCAATTCATACAGGGAAGAGAGGGATCATTACTTTATTACAGCATTTATAAAAATCCTAAACGCTAAACTACACGTACCACGTAAACTATGACATGACGTCTAAGTCTTGACAAGTCCCTATGTACAGATGTATAAAAGTGATAGACACTTAAAGACTTTTTAACTTACTTATGTAACAGGGTGGCTACTGGCTAATCACAAAAACTAGACATCCTTGTGTACAGGAAATATTTAATAGGTGGTAAGAATATAACCCTGCCATTAACAATATAATATGTATAAACACATGTATTAAACAATAATATCACATTATGCATTAAAAGACAATTGTACACCTAGTCCCTGATAATTAACAGTAAATAAATAAAAGTGCTATTGCAAAGTATCACAAATACATAAGTATAAAAAGAAGGTTATTCTTATATTAAAATAATTATTAGATAGTATTTCTTTATTTATACGTTTATCAAACTGTGAAAGTTTCAAGAATGTAAACATTATACAAACACTGATTAAATACTACAATCAAGATCAATCATTATTTACTCATTGTTTACATTATAACAAAAAAAAAACATTTAATTACCTGTCTATGGGACTCATGCCTCGTTCACACGTACATTTAATTCGAATTGAATTCGAATCGAATGCGAATCGAATTCGCTAATCGCGTTCACACATTCCTCTTTTTTAATTCGAATTGATTCGAATTGGCTAAATCGCATTATCTAATTCGCATTAGAAATGCGTTTTTTTGTTAATACGAATTAAAAGTTAACGTCGTTAGGACAGTAAAGCGAATTTGACGCGCATTGCAATTTGAATAAGAATTTACGTTTCCAAGGACGTCAAACGTTTCGAATGCGAATTAAACTAATTCGAATTAGTTAATGCGAATCGAATTCGAATTACGTGTGAACGCAGCATTAGGTTATAATACCACACGTACAGGTAACAATAATTCAACTGTCAACATTGAAATCTGAAAAATATATAATTGAACAAATTCTCACTACCCTTTGTAATAAGACAATAAAATAATACACACTATGTCTTAGATGTATAGCTATTTTATATTCAAAACAAATATGATACCAGTTACTATAAATTTTAAAAGTAACACAAAAAGGGTGACTTTATACAACTGTCAATTATTGAGTATGGAAACTTCATACAGTTTGCTATTTAACATTTAATCACTCAATACATTATACTAATTATGAGATACAAATATTAAAATGAAGTAATGTTATTAACAACTTCATGACTATGGTACAGGACATCTGATTGTATAATTTTATAGTCTTTTTGAACATCAAGTGTATTTATTAACACAAATATAAATACCTTTATTCTTAAAGACAACAGGAACATTTCCTAATAAATAATCACAGAAATATAATAAATTTCCGAAAGTTACACAAGACAAAATGATCCAGTGCTTTCTCTCAGACAATATCAAAATTTTGTAATTTCCCTCGGTCAAATCTCACCAATCAGAAAATAGAATTAATCCCTTGTGACATAATCGTCCAATGAAACTCCTGTACCAGATCTACATCACACAGATATACGAAATGACATCACAAGACTTACATCACAATTAAACAGTCGATATGACATCACAATAATAAAAATATGTATATAAAGTATTGATCACCTGTATTAATCTACTGTGTATGTCCATACTTTCGTAATAAATCAATACTACATATGTTTTAAACTACAAGTTATCTGGACATGGAAAATAACAAATAATAAAATTTATGTACATTGCAAATAATTAATTTCAATATATAAATGACCCTTTCACACTTACTATTGTTTTTTTCCATAAATATTTGATTATGTGCTTGTCACATGAAATAAGAACACACAAATCTGTAGTTACGTCTTTGAAAGTATGGTAGTGCAACGCAATACCAGTGTTAATATATCTAAATAACGTCATCTTTTTGTAAAATATAAATACAAATACGAGTTAAGCGTGGTTGTCCCACACTTAATCTTTTCATAAAACTTATTTAACTCAAGAGAGAATTATAAATCTGTAATACAATAACAGACAATAGTCCTGCTGGTAATGAGAAAGGTCAAAGTCAGTCTTTATCACTGTGTTCAGCCTCAGATCAAAAACAAATTTGAAATATGATCCCTCGCCAAGTCATTTAGACTTTATAAAGACTATCGACTAAATGTTAACATGATAATCAACAAGAAACTCTCCGGTAATCAGATATAAAATGAAACCAAAGAATAATCTATGAATTCTATTCAATACCTCATCTTACATGATCTTTAAACAAAACCATTTAATATATTAAAGGGGTAATTCCTTGAACAATTTAACGTTTTGAAAGAGATACTAAAAGATGAAAAAAAAGGCCAAGGAACAGAGATAAAGATAAGAGTTTCTATCTCACATTTAAACGATGATACTTATGCATACCATAAATTTACAATAAATCAAAACCACTCTCAGACATCTGCACTGGTGGTTAAAAGTAAAATAACAAAAATACCGAAAAAAAAAATTCAAAACGAAAAGTCCCTTATCAAATGGCAAAATCAAAAGCTCAACCACATCAAACGAATGGAAAACAATCGTCATATTTCTGACTTGTGTAGAAATGAAATTAAGGCAGATATTTTTATGGAGATAATTCCTCCACAAATAGAATATATTTGTCACAAAATGAAAAAGTCATCAATAAAATGAACTCTAAAGTAACACAAGTGATATAAACAGTAGTAGCTATGTTAGAAACCAACAGCATATATATACATAAGTCTTGAGCTGGCATGTCAGTTAACTGCTAGTAGTCTGTTGTTATTTATGTATTATTGTCATTTTGTTTATTTTCTTTGGTTACATCTTTTGACATCAGACTCGAACTTCTCTTGAACTGAATTTTAATGTGCGTATTGTTATGCGTTTACTTTTCTACATTGGCTAGAGGTATAGGGGGAGGGTTGAGATCTCATAAACATGTTTAACCCCGCCGCATTTTTGCGCCTGTCCCAAGTCAGGAGCCTCTAGCCTTTGTTAGTCTTGTATTATTTTTAATTTTAGTTTCTTGTGTACAATTTGGAGTTTAGTATGGCGTTCATTATCACTGAACTAGTATATATATTTGTTTAGGGGCCAGCTGAAGGACGCCTCCGGGTGCGGGAATTTCTCGCTGCATTGAAGACCTGTTGGTGACCTTCTGCTGTTGTCTGTTCTATGGTCGGGTTGTTGTCTCTTTGAAACATTCCCCATTTCCATTCTCAATTTTATGTATATCTTTATTCTCGCAAAACAAAGTACAATGGTATAGAGACATATACAAATAAATTAACATACATAATATAAAATTTAAATACAAATGTAAAGTAGAGACATACAGTTATTCGTATAAATTTGCACAATTTGCTTAGTTGCTATTCATAAGATCTTGAAATTTTAAAACATTTGGTCTGTTTACAAAATGATGTATCAGAGCGTTTGTCTACTTTCGTCTATTGCCGAACATTCTAAAACTCGTCGCTAATATCACCGGAATTA